ATAGTGTTGGCTTAACCATAATTGCTTCCTGCCTTTGGAGTTTTATGAAAATGAAAATGTTCTGATTATAACGGTTTTATATTTGTATTATGTGGATGTATAAGTTATGAATGATTTGGAATTGGGATGCTGCAGATGTTCAGAATCAGTACACGGGTCTGAATTAATTTTCTGCAGCTGTGATATAATAGGAGAAATGATGTAAAATCCCACTATCTGTTAATAAATAAGTAAACTGGTGGATTGCACAGTCCATATTTTGTTGTTTTGAGGATGCTGTCACAAGTATCCATATTTTGTTGTTTTGAGGATGCTGTCACAAGTAATAAGGATGTCCAGTTTTTCAGACCTTTTAAGATAGAGGATGTTTCTGGTTTTTTTTTTTATTTTTTGGTCATTTAGTCATCCAAAATGTGGAGTCTAAGTACAAACCTAGCAACATGTTCATTATATTTTTGTTTAATTAAGTTTTTGTGATGTATAACTTTAATACAATTGAAAATTTATTTTTGTAGTAGTGTTTTCTGAAGGAAGGGATATAATGTGTTAAGTTCTATTGTTTTAAATTAAAATGTAAATGTCAGATTTTTCTCTCTGAAACAGGATTTTACAGATGTGACATAGTACATGTCTGTTGGCTTAATAATAAGTTTTAAGTAGTATTAATCAGAAATGAACCTATTCCTCGAGTTCACATTTAAACTGTGGCATGTTGAAATAATCTAAGTTCCAATCTGCACATCTGAATTCATTTTGTAAAATATGGCAAACAGCTGCATTTCGATTGAAAGCTAAAACAACTGCAGGACATTAACCCATTGAGAAGATTACAGTAGGTTTTCAGTTCCATGTTAACTATATTTATTAGAGAAAATTGACTTGAGTGCTTCTGCTTTTAACCAACTTTTTTTTTTTTTAAATGTCTGGAAGAAAGGAAATAAAGCATCGGAATGATAAGACTTTGATGTGTAAAGAAGTTAATGTCTAAAGAAGTTAATTATCTAAATCATCAAACAAAATGTGGGCAGGGAAATAATTATTTTAAAGAGTCTAATGAGCTATCAGCTCATCATGTCAAGAAAAATGCTATTCACCTGTTTGATTTAAAAATTAAATAACTTGACTGTGAAAGGATGATCATGGCTATAATAAACTAGGATTGGGACCTTTTTCCTCTTCCCAATAAATAGTCTTGATGTAAAACATTTGCACTAAGGGACAACTGAAGAAAGCTGTGGTTTTACTACGAGTTTGCTTTCTGAAACGTCTCCTGTTGAGAGAGTTAAAAGCAGGGTGACTGGATTTGCAAAATGAAAAAGGGCCAGCAGTGTCTGGTCATCTGTCGAGTATAACGTTTTCTTCAGGATGCCTCTGTCAGTCTTCTGTTGGGCGAAAAACAACAAAAATCCAAACCTGTTGCCATCAATTTGATTCTGACTCATAGCAACCTCCGTTGGGTTTCCAAAGCTGTAAATCTTTACAGAAGTAGATTGCCTCATCTTTCTCCCATGGAGCAGCTGGTGGGTTTGAACCACTGACCTTCTGGTTAGCAACCAAATGTCTTACGCACTACACCACCAGAGCTCCTTATTGGGGCAGTAGGGGAAAGCCACTTTTTTTGTGGTCCTGGAGAAATCCAGGTTTTTTTTTTTTTTCTTTAAGCATGTTTTCTTGATTTTGCATGACTACAGAGAAAGGAAGTCCTTGGTTTTCTGTCTGTTTGCTGCCAGTCTTGGACTGGTGATTTGACTTTTTCTTTTTTTAACCTGAGTTTCAAATGATAATGTTTTTATTCCTACACTGTCTGTAGAATACAATACTTATTGCAAAAGTCTTTTTGAGAAAATGGACACATTTAGACTTAAAAAAAGTGATGACCTTCTTAGAATTAGGTTTTTATGTGTTTTTGAATTTTGGTTTTCAGACTCAGTTTGAGTGGGATTTTTTTTTCTTTTTTCTTACTTTGCTCTTGAACTTTTTCATGGTTTTGCCTGGCCATTAGGGCCCTCAGGCCACAGTCTGGGCTTATGTTGATAGCTGGTTGCTTCTGCCACAGAGGGATATTAGGATATTGCAGACCTAGTCACTCATCACTCAGGTAGTTAGTGTGCTGCTTGTTTTAGGTCTCTGTTCTGCTGCCTTCTCAAAAGTTTGTATAAGGCCTATATTCAGGCAGGGCTTTGAACTGGTTTATTGCAGTTCAACCCCCCTGCTGAGAATCCTTTTTTTTTTTTTTTCCACCCCAGATGTAGTGAATTAGGATCTACACTTAAACAAGAGTCTTAGGTGATTCTTATACGTATACATAAGCATCACCTGGGAATCTTGTTAAGATGTAGATTATGATTCAGTTTATCTGGGTGGAAATACAAAATCTCAGTTGGGGGTCCAATCAGAATGAACAGGGTTCAGAAGCCCTGTATCAGGCAGTGGTCCTTAGTAGTGGCCCAGCTTTCTCATATGGTGCCCAGCCCTTCCTTCTCATCCCTTGGTGAATCACCTTGGTTCAAGTTCCCTCTGTTCATTTGGCCTCTATTCCCCACAGTAGTAGTCAGATTAGAGGGGCATATGAGGAAGATAGCTATGTGGAGAATAAATGGAGATAGGAAGAGAGAGGGCCATAGCAGTAGGACAAGAGGAGAAGATGTGAGACTGTAAAGTAGAATTTACTTGGTCTCTTAAAAACTGTAGAGTGCAGAAGGAATCAAGGATAATGACAGAGACTTTATGCTAGGATGACTAGTAGCAGTAGGGTGTTTACACGCAGTCCATGGGTTACAAACGTACAATTTACACACAACCTTATGAACCAACCCCCAGAAAGCCTATTTTGATTTTAAAAATTTGAGGTATATAAATTATTCATAATAATGAAGGGGGTCTGCCTTATCCCAAGGAACTCTGGTGGTATAGTGCCTAAGGCATTTGACTACTAACCAGAAGGCTGGCAGTTCAAACCCACCAGCTGCACCTCAGAAAGAAGATTGGGCGAACTACTTCTGTAGAGATAACGCCTCAGAAACCCAAGGAGGGGTTGCTATGAGTCGAAATTGACTCGATGGCAGTGAGTTTTTTTTTTTGTTGTTGTTACTTTGTGCCATGCATCAAAATATTATTATTACTGTATTCTGTTAAAGATAGTTTTAATGTATCTGGAAACATTTCCTTAATTTTTTTATGCGTAGAAAAGTACACCATATATACTAAGACAAACATTTGACTGATTAACCGTACCTTACTGTTCTGATTTATGTACAAATTAGATTTAAAGATAGATTTAGGAACAGAATTCTGTAATCTGGAGACTGCCTGTAGTGAAAATTGAATTTATTTCATAAGGCAGCTACCTAATGTTGAACTGCTTTGAGGTCTTTTAGTGAAAATATTCAAGTTATTGAAACTTGTGTTGATTGTGAAATATAATAAATCTAAATTTATCATATGAAAACTTTTAGCCTATTAAAAAGGAGAATTTTTAATGTTTCTCTTTATAGTAATAGCTAACATTTATTGAGTGTTTACTGTGTGTCAAGTATTGTTCTGAAAACTTTATACATACTAGTTAATTTCCCTAAGAAGGTGAGATTATAATTCCCATTTTATAGATTAGAAAATTAAGGCACAGAAGTTAAGTAAATTGCTTAAGGTCCTAGTAAATAGAGGAGCTACTGACTACTGGGCAATGTGACCCCAGAAACAGCCCTTTTAATTAGTTTTCTGTACCTAAAAGTTCTCAGTTCAGCTTTATTTTATCATACGCTAGTTCTAAATTTGTTGCATTCTTCTCTAGAATCTATAAAGTATTTGTATTTTAATGAAAATTGTATTCTGCAAAGTTGACTCCCCCCAATAAAACCAAACCCACTGCCATCAAGTTGATTCTGACTCATAGACACCCCCTTAGAGTTTCCAAGCTTGTAAATCTTTACAGAAGCAGACTGCCTGATCTTTCTCCTGTGGAGTAGCTGGTGGGTTTGAACTGCCAAACTTTTGGTTAGCAGCGCAAGACCTTAACCACAGCACCACCAGAGCAAAGTTTACATAACCATATAAAATAACATTTATTGAGGACTTGCTGTGTAGTAGTTGTTCATGGCACTGCCACATGCATTAAATAAAATAGAATACAGTAGGATTGACATCTTGTTTTCACATTCTGCATCAGTTTAATTTTATTGGGAAATGTCAAATTTTAAATTGAATGAGTTCCTTATTCATAAGATTATAAAACATCACAGTGCTTACTTCTTACTTACTGATCAACTTTTTTTGTATATTAGGTTTTGGTTCAAATGGAAGGTAGACTCTCCTGTAGTTTTTCTAATGTGTTTCACAACAGTGGAACTTTCTTTAATTGGAATCTTACTTGGAGCCCTAGTGTATAAAATAGAAAAATCATAGTTGTTCTGGAAGAAATTGGTTGTATGTGTGTTTGGGGCCCAGTGGGACCTCTCTGAAGTATCTGCAGTGAAACTTAGGGCTCCCTAGAACACATTTGGGAGCTCTGGTGGCGTGGTGACTAAGGCATTTGGCTGCTAACTAGAATGCTGGTGGGTCAAACCCACCAGCCACTCCCTGGAAGGAAGGTTGGGCAATCTACGTCTGTAGTGATACTGCCTTGGAAACTCAAGGAGGGATCGCTATGAGTCAGATCCGACTCCATGGCAGTAGTTGTGTTTTTTGAGAATACATTTTGGAAACTACAGAGCATCATTAAAATATTTTAATGAGTTTTTTTTCCCCTCTATTGTTTATTGTAAAATAGGTACTGAAATGCTTGTCACTCAAATGAGTGTTTGGTATCCTACTTGACTAAGCAGTTTTTTTCTACCTTACTATTACATTTAAAAATAGAGCACTAAGTATGAATACATTTGTTTTACATAAGTAATCAGAAATTTAAATTTTTCTGTACTTTTTGATGTGGTTTATAATTTTTAAAAAATGTATTTATTTGTATTTAAAATACATTTTGTAAGCTTTTTCTCTTTTTTGCTTAGATGAATAATACTGCAGCTAGCCCAATGTCTACAGCTACTTCAAGTAGTGGAAGAAGTACAGGGAAGTCTATCAGCTTTGCAGTTGAATTACAGAGTATGATGTAAGTATGTTTCTGCATCTCACTTATTTCTATTTTAAATTTATTCTTGTTGAAAAAAGAATAGAAAAATAACAAGCTTTATAAAACTTAATTTGGAAGTAATTTGAAATAGTCTCTGATAACATTTTAAATGGCCCTGTGTATAAGAGGCAACATTGGTTAAAAGTGCTGCGATGGTACTGTATTTGATAAAAGTATGTATTGATTTATCTTTATGAAAGATGGAATGAATAGTTCCTTAACGCTTTTTGGACTGGTATCTGTCCAAATCTGTGTTACGGGATAATTTATCACCATTTTAGTTCTAGGTTTAACAAATATTGAAATTAATTACATTCTTTGATACTTGAAAAATTTTCACAGAGCAGTTCTCAGTTTTTCTCAAATGCCATAATCCTATGAGCCTAAGTTAGTTTTATTTTTGAAAACATTTGAAATCACTGTTTCAGACATTGAACTGGGGAAAAAAATAGAACCTTTAAAGACACATTTACTTTGTCTTTGAGAAATTGTATAGTCATTAAGATATCTTCCCTAAGACTCTGTTCTGCTTGATTTCTGTCTTCTTATATTGAGTGAGACTGCATATCTTGATTTGATGGAAGGTAGCAGATTTATTAGAACAGCTTCCTGCTGGTGCATACTTATTTTTCTTTATTGATTTAGGAGACAATTATCTGCAGAAGGAGGCTAACCCATTAGAGCTCCTCTTTTCCTATGGATACATTATTTATGACTTATCAGACCGTTTAAAAGAAAGTTTCTGTTGAAGGTTTAAGTGTCTTCCTTTGGTGGATGTCTTTTGATAGCCTTCATATGTTATGACTGGATATGTTGACAGCTACTATGTGATGTTTCAGAGGTGAAATGATCGTATACTTAATAGTTGCTTGGGAAACAACAGTGAAAACATTTAGGACATAGATTCCCAAATTTTTAATTTGGAAATTTTTCAAGCTCACTAAATTATAGAGAATAGTAAAATGAATTCTATATATATCCGTTATCTGGCTCTAACAGTAAGATTACATTTAACGTTTTTCCGTATCTACTTTTTTTTATATAAAATATTTCAAAGCAAAACCTAGACATATTTCAGATTTTGTGGCATTTTTAAATCAATGTTTATAAGTAGGTCAAAAAACAGGTGCTTTATAACGGGGGTCACAAACTGTGGCCATGAACCCATAGGCTCACAGCCTGTTTTTTAATTAGAGTTTTATTGGATTCCCGCCATACTTACTAATTTACCTGTTTTGCTTATGGCTGCTTTCATGCTATATCACAGAGTTGAGTATTTGTGAGAAAGGCCGTATGGCTCAATATTGTTATCTGGCCCTTTACAAAGTGAGTTTGATGACTCCTGATCTGTAGAAGCAGCTTTCTTTGAGAAGAAAGCTGTAGGGTGGTATTTCCTTTTGTCATTTATACTTATGAGAGGTTCTACTTAGTGATTTTGATGGACTGCAGGCCATTTAGGAAAACAGAAAAAAATAAAAGCTAAATTCAGCACTTTCTTATTAAATACTTTTGCAAACATCTTCCTAACCAATGTGTCTAAGCTGGATTCAGAATGCAGAAGTTATTTTTGGCTATAACTCTGGAAGAAATGTACATTTTCCTTCTATTTCAGACCTCATAGAGAGGCCACTTCTAATAGTTACATTCATCATTATAGTCTGAAGGTATTTTTTCTTCTTATGAATTGCTTCATAGAACAGAAATAGGGAGAGAACTGGGGAATTCCTTTTGAAGTTATCAATATTTTCTATTGGTATAAAGTTTGTGGGGTTTTGATTACATACAATTAGATATGCATTTGATCCTTGCGTATGTTGCTTATTCAAACAAGAAAGTGCAGACTTAAGACTCTTGTTTATGTTGCAGGAATTTTATCCCGTGAATCCCTGTTTTACTGCTGCTATTTCACAGTTCCAAGCCTGTTTGTATTGCTGCATTTCAGTCTTCTACTGCTACTGGTCTTCTACATCCATTCACCATTAAATGAGCTGTTTTCTCTTGGCTCCCTGCTCTCTAAATAAGTAACAATATTGTAGTGTCATTTGCAGGGAATGATTTCACTGGAAGGAATCTAGTTGTCAAGCGCAATGAAATGGTCGTGATCTTGCTATTAAACAGTTGAATTAGCAGTCAGTCTATTCTACTAGATAGAACTGAGACCTTGATAGAAGGTACCATATTTAAAATTTGGGTGGTAAATACCACCAGTGAAACATTAGGAAATGTTTCTACAGATTTTAAACTGATAGCAGCTATCATATAATTGAGCACATTTACTATATGCTTCTTAATACAGCCCTTTGAATAACATGTACTAGATGGATCCAGAGAGTTTTAGTTTTTAAGTTATTAAACACAAGCAATTTGTAATTAGGCAGTGAAATCTTTTCAGTCCACATTGAAGGTACTCTGATTGTGTAGAATTTGAATAAATGTATGTTTGAACCTTGCTGCACTAGACTATGGCTTTGTTGTATGTGTAAGATGGTATCATTGACTGCCAGTTAGTGTTAGGAAGTTACGAGTTATAGAAGAATATGTTCCTAGTTTTATTCTCATCTTAATCTGTCTTTAAAGAGACCTATTTTAGCGTTGCTTTGAGTCAAAATAGACTCGATGTTAGTGGTTTTGGGTCTTTAATATGTAAATATTTTAATTGTTAGTAGTTATTGAAGTGACATAGAATTTCTTTAAATGTTGGTTTTCTAGTATGCTTTAGTTATTCAGGAAACTGGGGAAAAGAGAAATTCCTAAAGTAAAAAGTACTGATATAGGTATGTTATAAATTCAAAGATGCTTTAATAATACCATTAATAATAGCAAATGCTTTTATATATCATACTCTGACAGGCACTCTGTGGAGTACTTTATATATCATTTCATTTAATCCTCAAAATGACCCTATGTGGTAGACACTGTCAATCCCTTTTAAAGATGAGTAAATTAAGGATCCCTTGTGGTACAACAGTTAAGAGCTTGGCTGCTAACCTAAAAGTTGGTGACTGGAACCTATCTAGCAGCTCTGCATCCATAAAGATTAAAAACCAAAAACCTGTTGCTATGTTGTGAAGATTAAAAACTGGAAACTTACTGCCATCAGGTTGGTTCTGACTCATAGTGACCCTATAGGACAGGGTAGAACTGCCCCATAGGGTTTCTAAGGCAGTGATCTTTCAATTTCAGTTTCTGAAATCCAACCACCAAATCGTTGTAACCAAGGACAAATCAGTAATCAAGAGAAAGTTTTTTTTTTTTTTTTTTTTTAAAGAAATCATAGACTTCTTAGTGAATGTTCATATTTGTGATATTTCAAAATTTTGGATATAAACTTGACCATATTGTGGTGGAATATTTAAGTCTACTCTAATTTTATATTTTATCATTAGTAAATAATAAACCAAAAAAAAAAAACCACCAAACTCACTGACAAAGAGTCGGATCCGACCCATAGCTACCCCTCCTTGGGTTTCCGAGGTGGTATCACTACGGAAGTAGATTGCCCATTCTTCTTCCTTCCAAGGAGTGGCTGATGGGTTTGAACCGCCAGCCTTTTGGTTAGTGGTCAAATGCCTTAGGCATTTAACTTCTAATATTTAAAGTATGCTAAAATATGTGAGTAAACTTATCGTTGTACTTTTGTGAAATTTAGCTGTTTTGAATAGTTTAAGATATGCTCTGGTTTTCAATAATAATGAGGAAAAATTTCAAATTACAATGTAAAACTGGTCGTAGTCTTTCCTGAAAGTGAGAGAATGTGTTAAAGCAGACTGAGTCTATCAGCCCTGGTGGTATTAAAATGTTTGGCTACCAACCAAACAGTTGACTATTCGAACCCATCATCCTCTCTGCAGGAAAAAGATGAGGCAGTCTTCTGTAAAGATTTACAGCCTCTAAAACCCTATAAGGCAGTTCTACTCTGTCCTAGAGAGTTGCTGTGAGTTGGAATTGGCTTCGTGG